ACAAAGAAAACGAGTTAAATACAAACTCTGGATTGTACTTGAAAAATGACAATTCAGTACTACACAAAAACAGGCCCTGATGAGGGATCAGTGAAGGAAAGCAGTAAAGATAAGACGGAGGCCTAAGCTGTCTGGACTGCATAGCTATCTCTCTTCATTTTCAGATTCACCTGAGTACAAATGTTCAGGTTTTAGCTATTTCAAAATACAGGATGCCACTGCTTGATACAAATAGCTGTGAAACTTCCACATTTCCAATCAACTCTGCCTGAAACTTTGAGAGCAGATAGAGAAGTGAAAACACTTTTGTTTGTATGCATGATTCTCCTCCTCTTCTAAATTATAGAGGAGAAATAGAATCCACTTTAGTAACAACAATCCGACAGAAAAAGAGACGATAAAAAAAGGATGAGGAAGTGATTAGGCTGTCCATAGCACAAAGTTTCCAAATTGCAGCCACATTCGACATTCCCCTAAGGACGGCTGGTCTGCAAATCCATTACAGCTGGAGATGAAACTGGTCTCTCTTGCTTTCCCAATCAAGTTGCTCTACAAGCAAGAATCTCCTGAAATAAAATCTGACAATCTATTAGACTTTCTTTGTGTGATCACTTAGTAAATACATTACATATACTACATCTAACAGAGTGAGAATAAAGAATAACTTTCTTCTAAGTACGTTCTGGAAACGTGCACTTAACCTAGGATGCAAAATAGGATCACTATCTGCAAAGTTGATTCAAAACTTCTAGTTTAACTAATTTCAGTAATAAATTAGTCACAAAATACAGCTTATCTACTAAAATTATGCCCTGTAGTATGAAAGCAACAGAAACTGCCCTAAGTTTCTGACCCAATAACTGCTGCTGAAGCAGCAACTAGAAGAAAGTGAGTAGGTAATAGACAATATATCCCTTTTACAACTTTGTCCCATGAATATTTGGAAATGCCAAAAGCAGATTAAAAACACAACAGTGCCATTAAGAGAGGTACTTAGTATTCAGCTGGACTGCTTAACAGAACTCACAGACAGGAGTTAAATGTTAAAGGTACTTTGCAGGAAAAAAAAAAAAATCCCTCGCATGTTCTGCTTCTTTTGCTTCTAGCACACACTCAATTACTGCAGATTCGTTTTGCTCAGTCAAGAATAGCAACAGGCCTCGTGCTTAAAGAAATCAGGCTTGCAAGTTGTTGGGAAAATTCTGACTCTAAACCAAACCATCTTTAATCTTCGCATGCCTATTCAGGAGGTATCTTACAAAAATATTAAGCAGACCTCATGGGTTATTTTCCATAGCAGCATCGACTCCGCAGGTACAGATAAGATTACACGTTCACTCCAGGATTGCACGTACAGAATGCAAACTCCTTTCCTCAACTTAGGAAGTCCAGAGAACTACAGAATTGTTTTATAATCATCAACAGCTTTTTTCATAAAAAAAAATCTGACCTTTCAAAAGAATTCACAATAGACTCAAATTTGATATGAAATTCCAAACCAGCGCCAACATGAGTTTTAGATGTTAATTTATGCATTATAACAATAACCTTAAAAAAAAAGACCCACAAAAGCAAAACACACATTACTTGAAACTAAATTAAGAGCCAAACTACTTACCTACTTAAGAGAGGACATATATTCATTTACTGAGTAACGCTTCTTCTACCACTTGCCTCTGTATTCTGCTGTTAACATCAACATCCTCATCTTTAGCAGTACTTACTCTACTTAGAAAAAACACAGTTCTGAGAAAAAACAATGACTAACAGATGCAAACAGAGGAGAGCTGAGAGATCTCATCTTACTGTGGCTTCATACTGAGGTTTCACCTTATTTTTCATCAAATCTCTTTACATACAACCTGACAGGTGGAACACAGAAGTAGGATTTCTCATGTTCCAAACCAAGACCTCAAGCCATATACTGAAACTTTAATACAGCAAGAGGCATTACCTCTCCTTAAAAAGTAATGCAAGCTCCTTACATGCTCCTGTCAAACAAGTTCCCTGAAATTTTCCACAGAGTAATTCAGCCTGAATATTTAAGCGTGAACACAGCACCGTTTTTGTATCCTAATCCCCAGTACAGAAGCTGCTGAGAAGCTTCAATAGCTCCTAGATACAAACAGGAAATTCAAGAGAGCACCAATGGGCACATCCTTGCCTCAGCTGGAAAATTATAAAGCAAATTCAAGTAATTCTGCAGAGAAAAGGACTACTATAAGGCTGAGTAGAGAATGTACTTCAAGGTAATTGGACATTATTATAAATTAAACCTCCAGCATAATGTCAGAGACCACTAACACAGAAAAGAAAATTATACCTTCTTTTGATACACCCTTTGTACAAATATTTGGTGTACATAATATCTGGTGTATTGTGTATTCAAAATAAAACTTATTAATCAAAAAACCTTAAATATCCACTCTGTCAAAGTTAATTGCAATCAAAACCTGAAATTCAGAGGTAAACATAACTATAAAGAGAGTTTCCCAGGAACCAGAATTTTTCTGCCCATCTGCCAGAAAAGGCTAATCTTCAAAGCAAAAATATATGCTTAGAAACCAGCATAAATCAATTAGTTATGAAGCAATTTTAAGTTTAAAAACATAAAAAACCCTCATCTAACAACAGTAGAAGTACCAACTGGCTTGGTGCTAGGATACGTGTAGAGTTCCATGTATCTGGATTTTGCCATACTTTGTCTGGTGTAAACCTGTTGAATTCCAGCTCTTAGGTCATCCCATATCTGGTCCAGACCAATCTGTTTAAGTCCATGTGGGTTCTGACTTCTATTCGATGACATTTTGTATTTCCTGTAAAGTCTTCCAGTGCAGCAGTCTGAGATCTGGTTATTCCTCCATCAGATTCACAAGTAAAGTAACATTCTAAACCCAGTTGCGGTAACTCAAGAGATGATCTCTACATACAAAAAGCAATGCTTTCCAGGAAAGTAACCTGCAAAAGGAAAAGAAAATACATATGCATTATATGCGCAGATAGTCCAATTGGCTTCATTAATATAGATGAGAAAATATAAAACCAATGACTTCATCAAAACAGTTTTTATTCACAATGGTGAGAAATCCATGATGAGACCTGAAATACCACAGCCAGAGAAGATAATTTTATGAATCGCCACCCTACAACCACTTGTGCCTGAATCTGTCCAAAGCAGTTCAAGGATAAAACTGTAGGTACTCTGGTTAGCACAACTGAAAACAAAAACCTAAGGCTGCCAAGAAAGTGTAATAGAATTACTCACAGCAAGAAACCTTCCAAGCAGCAGACATTATCCTCCTACAAAGGGTTTCTTCCCTATACAGCATTAAAACTCCAATAATTCACTTCAGAGTTCTGTAAAACCTCACCGCTGAGCAAACTTCCTGAAGAACGTCACCTAAGATTAATCAGAAGCTACTAAACCCATTATTTTTCTTCCGTTATCACTGAGCTCCTCCAGACTCAAGATTCCACTAGGGTAAAAGCCCAAGGTATTTTGGGGAGGCATGTTTTCATCTCTGATAAATGCATGTTTACATTAATTTTAGGGGTAATTAAACAAACATCCCCTTCTTGCATGTCACCTTATGAGTGAGAGAACATGCAGCCAATAATGAGGGGGAAGAAAAATAGAGCGCACAAAACAGATGTACAATCTTACAATGAACCTGTCCTATAATGGAACATATAGGACAAAGATTACAGGGGCCACCTAAAATTTCAAGAATAGTATACATGCTGTATATGTCAGATGAATCATATCATTTATTTGTGATCTTTGGGCAACGGAAAATACATTCCTTCAGCACCTACAGTATTTAATACGTGCTTTGCCACAGCCACGAGTGGATTGTTACACGTCCCACTCCAGATTTTACTCTGTGTCCAAGACTTAGTATCTTATGGGGAAAAAAAAATGTAGGACTTACCTTCTCTTCGGACCTTAAAAACAGCTAATATTGAGAGAATTACTACTGCAAGGTTATTGCAATTATTGCAGTAACATTCCCCACAGTCCTTTACTACCCACCACTCTTTCTTAGTTTTTAAATGGTTATTTAAATCTCAAGCTTTGAGTAAAAAACACCAAGAAATATTTTCATTAGGCTGATCTAAACAAAAAGTACTGTCTCATTTCAATCATGGATACAACTGCTTCTGTATCTTTTTTTTAAGGAAAAAAAGGGGCAACAACTTATTGGAAAAATATGTAGAAAAACAAAATAATTTAATGAATATATTGTATCAAACATACACCTTAAAACATACATCTTAAAATATAATACACTTGTAAGATAAAGATAAAGTTTGCCATTCTGCACTTCTATAATTAGAGCAAACTGACTTATATAAAGAACATGCAGGCATGATTACCACCACAATGAAATGAAATGCAGATCATTTCTTGGTTGTCTTTCACTTCTTCAATTTCTGGAAGTAGAACTTGCTACAGTACCAACAGTGATGGGAGTCTCACGACTGAGAAGAGAAGAGCAAAGACCTGCTAGCGGTCATTCGCCCTTATTGCCAGCAAAGGATTGTGCAGGTAACACCCTGGGTATGGACTATGATCCTGGATCAGCACTGCAATACAGAGCAAGAAAAACTCTTTCTGGGTCTAAAAATTAAGCTCTCTGATTCCTTAAATTTATTACTTGAACTCTCCATATGAGAAGGAGAGAACCTGGTTAAGAAACGACAAGTCTAGCATTATAATAATGTCTCTAAAAAGTAACTGATTATTACCGTTTTCCTAATCTGTGAAAAGCAAGTAGCCTTGAATTAGGGTCTGTTTTAGAAAATATTTTGGGGTAGCAAAAACAAAATACCTTCTGCCACATAAAAGTTCCCAACAAAAATACAACCCTGTAACTAGATGGAAGAAAAATAAATAAATAAGGCAAGTGCGCTGGAACTGGCACTAAGCTTATAATAATTTACAACAGAGACAACGCCAAAGCTAATGTGCCTTTCCAGGCAGAAAGCAATGGCCACTGTTCTTACTTAAATGTCTCTCTAGGTGCCACTAAGAGCCAACCTCTCTTCCACACAAGCCCACATCACCAGCTGCCTAACCAAGGCGAAGCTTTCCCGTCTGCAATAACAACAATATTTAACTTCCTTCCCTAATTAAGACTCTCCTAATTGCGTAGATGCCCTAGTGCCTCTGCAAATATCACCACTACCACTGTCTTTTGAAATCAGAGCATTGCTTGTTCACATCAGACCTTACTTCCCCTACCATCCTGTGTTCTCAGGTCAGGATAAGATCATCACAAAAAAAAGCCACCAGAAGAACATTATTTTGATTTGTTTCACATATATGTGTGAAACTTATTTTTTCAAGCCCTCCACTCTTAAAAATATCTTCTTTTTACAAGTGATAATGTGCACTACAATATTTGGATTTGACTACATGACCCGACTCTCCGTTGACTGATTTCCAATTTGAATTTTGCAGCTAAATGAATCAACACAGAATCATAACAGCATCATATTACTCACTTCCTAGACTAAAGAGATTGACTTTTTCCAGTTAGTTATTAGTTAATACAAGGGGGAAAAAAAAAGCAACAGATGAATAAGTGTATGAAAAATAAGTGATTTATAGCTTACTAATGCGCAGCACATAGAAAGAGAATTTAGTATATTAACTTTATAGGAGTAAAAAGTGACTAGTACCACTATACAAGATTAATTTCCAAAGCTCATTCGAGTGATCTTTTGTAGTGAGCTCCTAAACTAAGAAATGATGTTCAGACTGCAGAAAGGGAGAGAGAAATGAGACTCACTGCTGAGCATTTTTATTATATACAAACACGCACTGATAATACGAAGCTCTATTCCATAAGCCAAGTTTAAGTGTAATTTTCAAAATGATTTTATGATTTAAGCTCAGAAAGCTTCCTCTCCTAGACACACAACTCTGGAAGGCCAAATTTGGTTCACTGTAGTTACTCCACATCCCTTCACTTGAGGACCTGATTGCTAGGCTTCTAAAAAAGAAAGAAAGATCGAAAATCTGCAGCAATATTTCTGTGAATTCTCTGATAAGCTACACAGAGGTTTAAGCCCTTAGAGCTGACTGACAAGATGACATTGTACGGACTACCTGAAATTATACAATCCAATTTTGCTGATGTGCAAAACTTTTTAGAGAGAAGATAAAAAAAAATCCATTGGCGTGATCCTCCTGGCTTCTGACCTTTATAAATACCGACATACAGGAGAAAAAAACACAGCACTATGTGCCACTGCCAAGAGCAGGATGCCCGTCCTAGAAGCGTAAGCTGCTACAGGTGAATTAAAAGCTCAACATTAAGTCGTAATCTTCACATTAGCAAATTATTCACCTTGTAAGCATCGCTAGCAGGAGTAGGTACAAGGGAATCTTGACCTGATGGTCACCGGGCTTCCTCCCGCAAAGCTTCATCAGCAAGACTGTCGGCCAGAGCAACGTCTGCTAAAACCCACTGCGTTTACAACACCTGAATCCATCCTGAAGGGGTTACTACCTTATTTTGATGTCTTACTACCCTTCCGCCTCACAGCTCCAAGACCTATGCACCCACTCCCACAATCATTTGTTTTCCAAACTATCAATCTGAAGATAGTTCACTTAATCTCCAAACTAGCTATTTATACTGCTAGTTATTACCTTCCTGACCCCCATAAGAACTTGTAGCTCTTGGATAAGTTTCCCACTGACCCAAGAATCTAAACAGCATTTTTTTTTTTTTAAGAGAAACTGCAGAGATTTATAGGACCGTGACTTAGTCATTTCCAAATATTTCATCCCTTTTCTAATTTCAAACACATGGAAAATATTCTTGCCACTCACAGCACCATGAGGTTTAAGGTGACCAGATTTCATCATGAAAAATAAATACATTGCGCAGAAGAAACAAGCTTCACTAATAATATATGATACCACAAAATCTATTAAAAAAAAAAAAACTCAAGGACTACGCTATGAGGTTTCCAAAATTTACACATATATATTAAAAGTCAGAAATTAACCTTCAAATCCATTTACAACTTACAAAATGGCAATCCTTGAGAAGGTTCCGAATAATTTTACTCCCCCAAAGGCCTCTGTTATTTCTCTCCACTAAGTCAAGACAATCATTAAGCTTATTTACCTAACATATGCAGTATGAAACAAACCAGCTCCCTTCTAAACAAGTATTCCAAAAGCATTTTCACATAAGAAAAATTAGAAACACATTTAAACACTACCTTTGCACTAACACAATTCATTTGTTTGTTTTTATACTTATTTTAAAATCAATTGATTGAAATGACCCTAAAGTATTACCACATTACAATATCTGACAAGTTTTTGTCTGGCAATAAGTCTCCAAAGGCACATCTCTTAGCACCAAGCCTAATGCTAAAAACATACAAGCAAACAAGCCGCTCTCATGAAGAAGTCCATTTACTTTCCATATAGCCTTTCTTGCCAAAAAGGGCAGCTCCACAGATATTGCTACCGAAGCCTCTTCCTAAAGTATGTAAGCAACACATACCTTTTCAAAGCACATGCAAATGCAAAGCAAACTGTTGAGAACAATCTACCTTCACTGCCCATTAGCCTGTAGAACAGCAAGATATAATCTACATATTTAATCAGACACAAGCAGGGTGGGAAGAGGCAGGAGAAGTTGCTTTATTTTGTTCCTACAATCATTTGCACTCAGAATTTAGAATTCTGAGGATAATTTTCACATGTACTTGTCTGTAAATCTATGGGTTACCTTCATGATGTAAAAAATGATAATGGAGCACACAACATTTTACACCACAGATGTTCCACAGATGTCCAGAAATGTTTCAGGTCACTAAATATAGAAAGTATAAATTAGGCAGATGGATACCAAATGACCCCAGTTCTACTATCCTAGTACTATCAATCTTTCTATCAAGTACAGAATTATATCCTCAGCATTTTACAT